AGATTGGTTTCCTTAAAAGCCAAATGATCCATTTGGTGCGAAAACTTGAGAAAATCTTTAAAATGAGCATCGACTACGCGCGAGTACAGTCCGTCAGGCTACAAACTACTGTAACTTTCTTTAGGATTAATATTTCTCAGTGTGCTTTAGTACGTTTGAAAGCTCTTGAAATTCTCTATCTTTTGAGCTATAGACCATGTAAATCAGATAGATTTAAAGCAATTTAGAAGCGTTTGTAGTTGGACATTTTGTCACTTTTGTAGTTTTTAATGCTCATCTCTAACAAAAGTCGTTTAGACAATGCGCAAGCTAGCCGATCAGACCCGGGAAACGATCAAGAAGGAGGGTGAAGTACTTGTGGTGGCCGGCGATCACTCATCAGCCATCGGCACCTGGAGTGGAGTGTCGACAGCGATGAGAGACGTCGGAGAGATCGGACTCATTTGGATTGACGCACATATGGTTGGTAATTTTGAAATCATCAAGTAGAGCTTAAAAAAAATCAATCAAAATCTATTGTGTGTTCCAGCTTTGCAATTGCAAATCTCATAGTGCCAGGTTTTTCATGTACTTTGTGCTCAAAAGTAACGTGAACATACCCTTTCCAGTGCACTTAATTTTGCTGTTAAATAATTGAAATTTAAAATGAAGTGGGGAATCGTGTGCGCTCCGGAAAAAGCAGGTTTACGTTTTGAGCCCAAAGTACAGCCAAAAAACGTGACAAAGAAGGCTTGGCTTGAGAATCTAGGACCTAAAATCTTCTTTTCCAGGACGCCCACACTCCAGCAACTTCAGGCACGGGGAATATTCACGGAATGCCAGTGGCTCATCTTTTAGGCTATGGTGACAGTCATTTGGCCTCAATTGGTGAGTTCAGCAATTCTTAAAACAGAATTTGAGTACTTCGGAACCTTCCGGGCCTTCCGGGCTTTCCGGGCCTTCTAGGCCTTCCGGGCACCTTCCAGCTATTATTTTTCATTTCTAAAGATACTCAGCCTTGTTGGGCATGGAATACTGTAGTGAATAGGAGAAAAAACTAGGCTAAGCGCAAAAAAGGTACCTGGGCCTGGGCCAGGTTGGGCCAGATACTTTTGTGGTCAGTCAAGAACAGAGGAGCCAAAGTCATGTCGGACTTTGCCTAGTCTAGCTTCCAACGGCCCCAGTCACTCCTTGTGGGCTAGGCCAGGTCAGGGTTAGAATCCAGATCCAGATCTGTTTTTGAAGGAGCAGCCATTTTTGTGAGCAACTTTACAGTATTTTACAATATTTCACGTTACAACATCAGCTGTGATCCATTTTTGACCGCTCAACTCTCTAATTTCCCATTCAGGCGACAACTTCCCAAAAATCCGTCCTGAGAACCTCTGCCTTGTCGGGATTCGGAGTTTCGAGCCAGCTGAGCAGGTAAATTGGAGAATTTTGGCTAAAACCAGTGACTTAGCAACTTCTTGATTACCTCGGCGTCCGGGTTTTCTTCATGGAAGAAGTGGAAAGACGGGGAATCGCTGAAGTGATGCAAGAGGCGCATCATCATGTCACGAGGTGAGCCCTAAAGAAGAAATTGGTGAAAAACAAAACTGTTGTGATTTTTGCGAAAAGCAAAAACTTTTCGGTTGCACCCGGGGTCGAACCAGGGTCGTGTGAGTGGGAGGAAAGTTTGCTATCCACTCGGCCATACAAACCACTTGATCTTTTAATAATATTTTACAATGAAAGCATGACCTCCAGGATCACCGAAAACTTTAGGCAAACCTCGGCTTTCGGCATGTCGATCGACATTGACGGCTTTGACGTGGCAGACGCACCGGCTGTGGGAACTCCGGAGAAAGGTTAGAAAATAGCTTTTAAATAATAAAGTGTGACATCCAGATAGTCCGATAAAATCATTAAAATCTAAAAATATTCAGCTAACGGCTTTGAAAAAGGTTCAACTCGTTTTGTCAAAAACAAAATTGTCAATTTCTGAAAATTGGAAAAACTGCTTTTAAATAATAAAGTGTGACATCCAGATAGTCCGATAAAATCATTAAAATCTAAAAATATTCAGCTAACGGGTTTGAAAAAGGTTGAACTCGTTTTGTCAAAATTGTTAGCTCTAAAATTTGCGCTTTTCTCCTCTCTGAAAATTGGAATCACTGCTGTGCGTTCCAGAAAAGAAAATCTCGTTTTTGGTTTTGAAAATGTTTTTAAAAATTCAGACGGAATCCGTGCCGACGAGTTTTTGCAAGCGCTTCTCCGGCTAGACTTGAGAGGATTGATCGCCACAGAGATCGTCGAATTCTTGCCGAAATTCGATGACGCCCACAAAACGAGGTTGGTCTTGAGTCTCTTTAAAAAGCAGCCTTTCAGCATTTCAGCATTTCAAGATATTCAGCTTAACATTTTAAAGGGTATTCAGTTGGGATTACTGTGGTTTCTTAAAGAACCCTCAAATTGAAAATTCTAAAGCCAGTTTTCTAAAGTGCGCTCCAGAATGGCCAAAAATGAGATTTCTATCAAAAATCGGAGTTCATAGAGTCAATTTTTCAATCCATCAAAAAAAAACCCACTTGGGATTACGGTAACTTATCCAAAAGTTTTAAAAAGTGATCCTTTTTCTCAAATGCCCGCCAGAATCGCCAAAAATGCATCAAATTTTGTCGAATTTCCCCGAATTTCAGCGAGAAACTCGTGGTGAATCTGATCGAAACGATTTATCAAACGAAATTCTTCCAAACCCAAGCAACGGAGTCGATTTTGCGACGAGCGCACTCATAAATTTCATAATTTTCACCAATTTTCACCAATTTTCACCAATTTTTTGTATTTTTGTGTATATAAATGTACAAAATTTGTGTTATTAAATAAATTTTGCCTTTTTCTCAAATCGGTAACTGGTTAATGGTCTAGAGCCTCGACCTCGACAAAAACTACCGTAACCCTTAACTCTTGATCTTTTTTAATTCAGGATTTCGGTGTATTTTAAAGAGAAATCGACGAAATCACAGATTTTAAGCGGTTTCCAGCGATTTCTCCGTATCTCTGAGTTGAAATCGCGAAGCCACAACAAACGAGAAACGGGAGCGGGCTACGATGGATGGAGCGCCGTTTAAGGAGAGAAGGGGACAAGACAGGGCTGCTCAGAAGCCGATCATTCTGCCCACCCGACCAAATTAGAGCATTCCAGGGCTTAAAAAAGAAATTTTTTTAAATTTAGCTATTCTGGATGTCACTAGGCATTTTGAAATTAAAAAAGGCAAAAATTTCGTAAATTTTTTATGTTAAAATTTTCAAGGGACGAGTACAGTGGATTTTAGAGCTCTGGGTAACTCGGATTACGGTAATTTTTCGATTTTTATCTGATCTGGAAGGCATTTGAGCTGGCTGAAGCTTTATTTTGCCTTTTTTTCAAATCGGTAACTGGTTGATGGTCTAGAATCTCGACCTCGACAAAAACTACCGTAACCCTTAACTCTTGATCCTTTTTAATTCAGGAATCCACGATCTGGAGCACACAAGAGAAAATGCGTTCTTCGAAAAAGTGATAGCTTTTGTTTTAGAATTTCCTATATAGCTACAGTACCCCGAATTTTTTGTCGGTATAAATTTACATTGAAATTTACATTTATCGAAAGGGTGCCTTCCAGATAGCTGATTTTCGTCGAAATTCGGAAGTGTTATCGATTGGGAAATGGAAAAAATGGGGAGACAAGTAAAATGAACTTTTTCAGAGAGAAATCCACAGCTAGCTACCGCCAATCGCTAGCCGGTGCAGAGCCAATCCCAGAGCACAGGGGAAAACACATTTGCATAAGAATAGACAAATCATTCGATAATAACAATAGTAACTCAAATATCAGTTTGGCTCGGAGCTGACAAAACGAAATTCTTCCAAACCCAGGCAACGGAATCGATTTTGCGACGAGCGCACTCATAAATTTCATCGATTTTTTGTATTTTTGTGTACATAAATGTACAAAATTTGTGCTATTAAATAAATTTTTCAAAAAAAAAAACAAAATTTCCTTAAGTGTTTCAGTGAAAATTTTCCTTTTCTGCCGGAAAAAAGCCCCAAAATTTCAAATCGATTTTTCTCGGCTTTCAGTTAAAGAATGAGAAAATGACTTAAAGAAATGCTCAAACTGGAAAGCAACTTAGTTTTTGCGAAATAAATTTAGAGTTCTCGGAAAGTTTTAAACTTTTGAACTTTTGCGAAAAAGCGAAAAAGCGAAAAAGCGAAAAAGCTCAAAAATTCCAAAATAACTTAAAAGCGACTAAACCCTAAAATCGCGACTTTGGGCTTTTATAGGGCTTTCATAACCTATTGCCGGCGTTTGCTCGAGTATGCCACCATCGTATACGGTCACCTTCCATTAAGAAACTTATCACTTTGGTTGAAAATGTTCAACGGTTCAACGGCGTTTCACTAAAAGCGCATACACTCGTTGTTTTCCCTTCTTCTCTTATTTCAAATTATGACACTAGCCTTATAGTTTTTGATTTAAAAATCCCCTTTATATCGCCGTATTTACATTGATATCATTTTTTTTGCTATAAAATTCTTTTCCACCCTAAGTCGCATCCAGAATTTCAAAGCCTCTTGAAAATTGTGGAAATTCAAAGAAGTAGAGAGGTCGGTGGAGCCTCTCGGCAAGCGGTGGAGCCTCTCGGCGAGCGGTGGAGCCTCTCGGCGAGCGGTGGAGCCTCTCGGCGAGCGGTGGAGCCTCTCGGCGAGCGGTGGAGCCTCTCGGCGAGCGGTGGAGCCTCTCGGCAAGCGGTGGAGCCTCTCGGCAAGCGGTGGAGCCTCTCGGCAAGCGGTGGAGCCTCTCGGCAAGCGGTGGAGCCTCTCGGCGAGCGGTGGAGCCTCTCGGCGAGCGGTGGAGCCTCGTTGACGGTGCGGACGGCTTTTCGGGGAATGATCGGACGACGATGAGATTCGGAAACGGTGATAGCCACGATAGTTACCGTGTCTTTTTCCAGAAACGGCAAAAGTAACTTTAAGCCAAGATTATTGAAGCTTAACTCATGTTAAAGTTGTTGCTGTTGTTGTTGTTGTTAAGTGTTGTTGAGTGTTGCTGTTGCTGTTGAGTGTTGCTGTTGAGTGTTGCTGTTAGGTGTTGCTGTTGCTGTTGCTGGTAGGTGTTGCTGTTAGGTGTTGCTGTTAGGCGTTGCTGTTGTTGTTGCTGTTGTTGCTGTCGTTGTTGCTGTTGTTGCTGTTGCTGTTGTTGTTCTTGCTGGTGTTGTTGTTGTTGTTGTTGTTGTTGTTGTTGTTGTTGTTGTTGTTGTTGTTGTTGTTGTTGTTGTTGTTGTTGTTGTTGTTGTTGTTGTTGTTGCTGTTGTTGTTGCTGTTGTTGCTGTTGTTGTTGTTGCTGTTGTTGCTGTTGCTGTTGTTGCTGTTGCTGTTGTTGCTGTTGCTGTCGTTGTTGTTGTTGCTGTTGCTGTTGCTGTTGCTGTTGCTGTTGCTGTCGTTGTTGTTGTTGCTGTTGTTGCTGTTGTTGCTGCTGTTGTTGTTGTTGCTGTTGTTGTTGCTGTTGCTGTTGTTGTTGTTGTGGTTGTTGTTGTTGTTGTCGTTGTTGCTATTGTTAAAGTTAACTCATGGCAACTTGACATGAAAGCTATTTTTTGGTGTAATGGGAAAGAATTGTTTCCTTGACATTACAAATAACGCACGGATAGGGCGCGTAGACACGAAAAACTCACCCGAAATGATGTTTGTGAGAATTTTTAGGTGCTTCGCTTTTAATTGATCCTTTTTTCCAGTTCAATGAATTAAGCTAAAAGATTTTTATCATTTGTTTCTTTGTTTCTGATTTGTTAATCTTGTTTTTACGTTTTTCTCAATCTAAAATTGTCCAGAATATTTGTGACGCCTTCTTTAAAAGCAAAATTACATCGAAAATGTATCAGATTACTTTAAAGTTTGTTATTATTTCTTTTTTTATAACATTTTTCTATTTATATTCTAATTTTTAGCCCAATCGGTGGGTTATAAGAAAAATTAGGGCCTCTAATTGGCATTTGCTCATTGGCAACAAGCTCATTGACATTTGATTGGCCAAACTTCTTCGTAAAAGCAGCTAGCAAATGTAATAATATAGCAAATAGCTTATTTCAAAAAGCTTGTTGTTATATAGAGATTTGAAGCCCGGAATCCCGGAATATCAAGGAATTGTGCCAAAGATGGCAAGAAGCATCAATCTTGGAAGGTCCATTTTTTGCATGATAATGTAAAACCGCACACGGCAAAGATGACCTTCCAACAAATCGAAGAGATGAGCTGGAAACTTCTGCCTCATGCCCCAAACAGCTCTGACTTGGCCCCTTGGCCGCTCACTTGGCCCCTTGGCCGCTCACTTGGCCCCTTGGCCGCTCACTTGGCCCCTTGGCCGCTCACTTGGCCCCTTGGCCGCTCACTTGGCCCCTTGGCCGCTCACTTGGCCCCTTGGCCGCTCACTTGGCCCCCTTGGCCGCTCACTTGGCCCCTTGGCCGCTCACTTGGCCCCTTGGCCGCTCACTTGGCCCCTTGGCCGCTCACTTGGCCCCTTGACCGCTCACTTGGCCCCTTGACCGCTCACTTGGCCCCTTGGCCGCTCACTTGGCCCCTTGGCCGCTCACTTGGCCCCTTGGCCGCTCACTTGGCCCCTTGGCCGCTCACTTGGCCCCTTGGCCGCTCACTTGGCCCCTTGACCGCTCACTTGGCCGCTCACTTGGCCCCTTGGCCGCTCACTTGGCCCCTTGACCGCTCACTTGGCCCCTTGGCCGCTCACTTGGCCCTACTACTTATTCAGGTCTCTAAAGGTCTCATTTCATCTCCGATCAGCTGTTCAAGGATTCCCAGGAAGTCGAAAATGCGGTCACCAACTATTTCAAAGTCCCCAGTTCCCATCAAAAAGTCCCCAGTTCTTTGAAGATGGAATTATTGAATTGCGCCAAAGATGGCTAGTCCATTTCTCAGGCTAGTCATTGACAATAATGGAGAATACCTTTTGGATTAATGCTCTTTTTTGGGTTCTATGAAATAAACAAATTGTTGCTTAAAACGATCATTTAAACCTAATATTGGAGGTAAAAAGAAGTGACGTTGCCACGAGTTATTTTGTTTTGACTTTCATTTCAATTCATTTCAATTCAAGACCAATTCTTGGCAACTTGGCAACTTGGCAATCTAATACAATTTTGGACTACCCTGTAGCCAGAAAGACGCCGATCTCATTCAAAAGCTCGTAAAATAAGCTGCATAACTCCGATTGTCGAGTTATTAATGGAGAAATGAAGCGAACTTTTCGGGCTTTAATTCCCTATACAACATTTACTCCTTTTTGAAAGGATTTTCCCATTTGCTAGCTGCTTTCAGCCTAATCTACCTTTTGAAATCCGATGAAAACAGTGAAAATAAGCTGATTTCATCTCGTTTTCAAACATGGCGACACATAAAGCAATTAAATTATAGTGTGCCCTCCAGATCACCTAATACTACCGCTAAAGATCAGATTACTGTAGAAGTAGTGCTTTTTAGGAGCCAGTCACGGAACGGGATTACGGAACTTTTTAGAGTTCGCGAAATTGCATTGATTTTAAATGGAAATTGTAGTGTGCGGTCCAGATCGCCTAATATTACAGCTAAAGATCAGATTACTGTAGAAGTAGTGCTTTTTAGGAGCCAGTCACGGAACTGGATTACAGTATTGTTTTCAGAGTTCGCGAAATTGCATTGATTTTAAATGGAAATTGTAGTGTGCGGTCCAGATCGCCTAATATTACAGCTAAAGATCAGATTACTGTAGAAGTAGTGCTTTTTAGGAGCCAGTCACTGAACTGGAAATTGTAGTGTGACCTCCAGATTACTACTTTTGAAAGAATTTTCCCATTTGCTAGCTGCTTTTAGCCCAATCTACCTTTGGGAATCCGATAAAAACAGCGAAAAAGCGAAAATAAGCTGATTTCATTTCGTTTTCAAACATGGCGACAATTAAAACAATTAAAATTAAAATTAATAATAATTCTATGACAATTCAATGATATTTGTTTATCAAATTAGCATAGAAAAAGCAAAAAAAAAAACGATTTGAGAAAGAGTTTTGAGATTTAAAAAGATTTAAGCACAATTTAAGCACAATTTAAGCACAATTTCATCCGAAATTTTCATTCGACTTTTATTTACGCAGCTTTTAATGGCTCTATAGCCAAGCGATAGGCTCTATTGCCAAGCGGTAGGCTCTATAATTTTTAATTTCAAAATTTCCATAAAAACAAGTTTTTTTGCTTTAACAGAAATCACAAATCAACGAATTTCTAAAAATGAAAAAAAAAACGCAGAAAAGTGATGAGAAAACGGCTCCGTGCCACCCAGGAATGCCCTCGTTTTTTTGCGATTTTCCATTTTTTCCATTTTCTCTCGTTTTCCGGTCAAAATCGGCGGTGTTCCATTCGCGTCATTTGGACCAAAACGGAACTTAATCCCAGCCCGGTTTTCTGTGTTTTAATCGCTCAAGTGACTTCCAGAATTAACGATCGCGTTTGATTTATCTTTTGAAACCTCAGAAATCGCGATAAATCTACGCGAAGTCATTCAGGAAAATGGGTGACGTTCATTTTTGATTTTTTCGCTTAAAAAAGAGCGATTTTAGCTTACATGACATCCAGAATGACTGAATTTGTCAAAAACTTTTTAAAATTCTTTGCCAAATTTTAGAGAAACTGGGGCAAGACCAAAAAATTTTCGCAAAAGAGGAAAAGAGGATTTTTGTGCATATTTCCTAATCGAATTAAACGATTTAGTGCTGACTGTTGGCTTCTAGATCAAAAATGGTTGACATTTCAGTCATTTGAGTCATTTTTGGCAAAAAATGGACTGGAAAAATGGAGAAAAGGTTGGATTAGTCACGGGATTTTCGCTTTTTTGTGTCGGTCACGATTTCTAGAGCTTTTTACCGCTTTTTACCGCTTTTCATAAATTGTTCTCGAAATTGGAGTGATTTTTGGCAGATTTCAACATTCAATTTTGGTTAAACTTGAAAAAATTGATCAAAAAACGATCAAATAACGAAAATCTCGAATTTTTTTGCTTTTTTCAGCTTTTCCCTTTTAAACAACTTTTATTGCTTAAATTTTATTGATGGTATGATCTAGAGGTCAAAGCCATAGCCTGGTATGATCTAGAGGTCAAAGCCATAACCTGGTATGATCTAGAGAGGTCAAGCCATAGCCTGATCTGATCTAGAGGTCAAAGTCATAGCCTGGTATGATCTAGAGGTCAAAGCTATAGCCTGGTATGATCTAGAGGTCAAAGCTATAGCCTGGTATGATCTAGAGGTCAAAGCCATAGCCTGGTATGATCTAGAGGTCAAAGCTATAGCCTGGTATGATCTAGAGGTCAAAGCTATAGCCTGGTATGATCTAGAGGTCAAAGCTATAGCCTGGTATGATCTAGAGGTCAAAGCCATAGCCTGGTATGATCTAGAGGTCAAAGCTATAGCCTGGTATGATCTAGAGGTCAAAGCTATAGCCTGGTATGATCTAGAGGTCAAAGCTATAGCCTGGTATGATCTAGAGGTCAAAGCCATAGCCTGGTATGATCTAGAGGTCAAAGCCATAGCCTGATCTGATCTAGAGGTCAAAGCCATAGCCTGGTATGATCTAGAGGTATGATCCACATTTTTCAACCCAAATAGCCAAACGACTCAAAAAAATAACTCAAAATTCTTCTCTTCTCCATGAAAAATGCATCTGAATCTTTGGTTTTCATTGGTTTTCAAAAAACAGCGCTAAAATTAGACGATTTAACCCTGGGATCACGAGTTAGCCTCGTGAATCGAGAAAGTTTTCAGCTTACTTTGATATTTTTCGAGTTTTTCTTCAATCCTGGATTACACAATAGCTAATAAGCTTAAAATCTCAGCCTTAGAATCAATTTAAAAAATCAGTATTATGCAAAAATGTTCAACTCCGATATTTCTTGCTAATTTTTCAGCTTACTTTGATATTTTTCGAGTTTTTTGACCATTCTGGATGTCACACTTGCTAATTGGCTCGAGAACCGAAATTGTCGAGTTAATTGGATCACATCCGATCTTGAAATTTTCTCAAAGTCTCAATTACAGCTTTCAGGTCTTATCCTGTTTTTCCCAAATTCATCCAAAATCGATTTTTCTTTGCCCAATGGCTCTAGTGCATTCCAGATTGGCTTTTCTGACGTTTTTAGACTGAGAATTTTGCATTTAAGTCCATTTTGGCCATCCCTGGGACAAAACACCTTGGTCAGCTTTTCTCAAATTCATCCAAAACCGATTTTTCTTCACCCAATCGACCTTGTGACTTCCAGATTGACTTTTCTGACGTTCTTAGAAGGAAAAATTTGCATTTAACTTGGTTTTGGCCATCCCTGGGACAAAACACCTTGGTCAGCTTTTCTCAAATTCATCCAAAACCTATTTTTATTTGCTTAATCAACCTTGTGACTTCCAGATTGACTTTTCTGACGTTTTTAAATTGAAAAATTTGCATTTAACTCCATCTAAGTCCATCAAAGACGAATCTACGCTTTTCTGAAACTCTTTGAGGTAGAGAAAATGAGAAATTTCTCTGAACGCCTCATTCAAAATGCACCTGAGCATCCCGTGCGCACAAAAAAGTGTTCACTGAGCGTCAAGAGAAGCACCAAATTTAGCTGGGGTCACGAGTTGTTCGCTCATCCACATGTTTTCCCCGGAAAAGGGACGAGACTCGCAAAAAAAGGTCCAAAAAAATGAAAAAAACAAAACCCCTCGAAGCCACGCCCCTTTTTCGTCTCTTTCCTTTTTATTGCATTCAATTTACCGCTGAGAGCTTTTCCCAGAATTCGCACTTTTCTTCGGGCTTCTCTGGGTCCATTTTGGCCATTCCTGGAACATAATTCGGCCATTCCGCTTTTTTCGATCCGCATTCCATACAATTTTTTCGCTTTTTTGATTTCTTGGCCAATTTGGCCACTCCTGAAACTCCTGAAACACAGCTGATAACATTTTTGCTCAAATTGATCTAAAACCGATTTTTCTTTTCCCAATCAACCTTGTGACTTCCAGATTGGCTTTTCTGACGTTTCTAGACTTAGAATTTTGGATTTAAGTCCATTTTGGCCATCCTGGGACAAAACACCTTGGTCAGCTTTTCTCAGCTGCATCCAAAACCGATTTTTCTTCACCCAATCGACCTTGTGACTTCCAGATTGACTTTTCTGACGTTCTTAGAAGGAAAAATTTGCATTTAACTTGATTTTGGCCAAACTTGGAACAGAACGACTTGGTCAGCTTTTCTCAAGTGCATCCAAAACCGATTTTTCTTTTCCCAATCAACCTTGTGACTTCCAGATTGGCTTTTCTGACGTTTTTAGACTAAAAAAATTGCATTTAAGTCCATTTTGGCCATCCCTGAAACAGAACAACTTAATCAGATTTTCTCAAATTCATCTAAAACCTATTTTTCTTCACCCAATCAACCTTGTGCATTCCAGCTTTCGATTTCCCATAATTTCTGGCCCTTAACTATTCAGCATTGCCCCCAAACCCTCACAGAACAAAACCGCGAAAAAAACGAAACGATCAAAAGAACAAAAAAAAACACGTTTTCGGCTATTCAGTAAATTTGCTGCGTTCTTGTGCTTTGTGAAAGTGCTATTTTTGAGAAAATAAAGTTTTCCCCTCTTTTCCACTTCAAAAGAGTTTCTTTTGAAGACGGCTCAGAGTTTCTTTTTGCAGGGGAGGCAGTGGGTGAGAGGCCGCACTTTCCCAGGCCTGTTAGCGGCGAACAGAGACTCAGATTTGATATTTTTCAAGTTTTTCTTCAATTCTGGGTTACACAACAGCTAATCGGCCAAAAATCTCAGCCTCAGAATCAATTAAAAAAATCCGCATTATCCGAAAATCTTCAACTCCGACATTTCTTGCTAATTTTCCAGCTTACTTTGGTATTTTTGAGTTTTTTTGACTATTCTGGATGTCACACTTGCTAATAAGCCTAAAATCTCAGCTTCAGAAGCAATTTTAAAATCAGCTCTATCCGTAAATTCTCATCTCCGACATTTCTTGCTAATTTTTCAGCTTACTTTGGTATTTTTGAGTTTTTTTGACTATTCTGGATGTCACACTTGCTAATAAGCCTAAAATCTCAGCTTCAGAATCAATTTTAAAATCAGCTCTATCCGTAAATTCTCATCTCCGACATTTCTTGCCAATTTTTCAGCTCAAGTTCATATTTTTTTTGATTTTTGACTATTCTGGATGGCACACTTGTTAATTGGCTCAAAAACGAGAATTTTCGAGTTAATTGAGCGATTTAGGATGTGATCTGGGAAAATATTTGATCTCTATCGATTTTTTAAAAAACTAGCAATTTTATTTTTTCAAATTTTCATTTTTTCTCCATTCTGGATGACACAAATGCCAAAAAATCACAAAAAAAATAAATAATTTCAGCAAAAAAAGAACGAGATGAGTTTCATCTTCGTCGTCGACACTTCGCTGACAATGGCGTTGACGCTGGATGGGCAGGTTTGGAGTTTTGAGAAATAAAAACCCAAGTGTGCCCCAGATGGAGTGCGTTTACGCCGAAGCTCAAAGCAAAAAATCATTTCCAAATCGAATTTTTGCAGCCCTCAAGCTCCGTGAGTCAATCGCGTTATGGCGCCGCTTGTCGTATCATCTCTGGATTGATTTCAAGAGCCAAGAAAATCACACCGGAGCCAAAAATCGCTTTGGTGCGTTTTAGAAGGGGCAAAGGGAAATTAGAAGGGTTTTAGAAGAGATCTAAAAGAATAAATCAATTTTTAGTACCGCATGGGTGCTAAAATCGAGTTGTTGAGTCGAAATTTGGAGGACGAGACGGTGGCACAGAAATTTCTAGCGACAGGGTGGGTTGATTTTGAATGGAAATTTAAGTGTGCGCTCCAGATTGACTGAATAATTATTAAATAATTGAATTACGGTAGAAGTAGTGCCTTTTAGAAGCCAGACACTGAACTGGACTACGGAACTTTTTAGAGTCAACGAAGTCGCATTGATTTTGATTGGAAATTTAAGTGTGCGCTCCAGATTGGCTAAAAATTCAATAAGAAAGATCGATTTGCGATAGATTAAGTACTTTTTAGGGATGAGAATGAAACCGAAACGAAGTGCATTTTAGAATTGACCAAAGTAGTCTTGATTTTAATTGGAAATTGTAGTGTGCGCTCCAGATCGTCTAGTATTACATTTAAAGATCGGGTTACTGTAGAAGTAGTGCCTTTTAGAAGCCAGACACTGAACTGGATTACGGTATTGTTTTCAGAGTTGGCGAAATTGGGTTGATTTTGATTGGAAATTATAGTGTGCGCTCCAGATCGCCTAATACTACAGCTAAAGATCAGACTACTGTAGAAGTAGTGCTTTTTAGGAGCCAGTCACTAAACTGGACTACAGAACTTCTTAGAGTTGACGAAGTCGCATTGATTTTAAATGGAAATTGTAGTGTGCGCTCCAGATCGTCTAATATTACAGTTAAAGGTCGGGTTACGGTAGAAGTAGTGCTTTTTAGGAGCCAGTCACTGAACTGGATCACGGTATTGTTTTCAGAGTTGATGAAATTGCATTGATTTTAAATGGAAATTGTAGTGTGTCCTCCAGATCGCCTAATATTACAGTTAAAGGTCGGGTTACGGTAGAATATTAGTGCTTTTTAGGGTGCGATTGCTCGGCGAGTCGCACACCGGAGAGCTACTGGATCGAATCTCTGAGGATCTCAGCCCAACACAAGACGATCACATCATCGTCTTTACGGATGCGACATCATATGATGTGAGTTAGAAAACGAAGGAGTTTTACTAGAACTTGATCGCAGGGTGACATCAACTTCTTTGCGCCGTGCGAGTGCCGTTTTGTTATCGTTAACACGACGAAGAAAGGGGTCGATCCGGTGCAAGTCGAAGAGTTGGAGGAGATCTCGGCCGAAAGTTGTGGCTATGAGGTGAGTTAAATTCATTTGAGCTTAATGGGAGAGTTCCTGGATTCCTGGATTCCTGAATTCCTGGAGAGAGCCATTTCCTCAGCCAACTTTCAACTTTCCAGGTCAGTGAAGACTACGAAGACTACTATCACCTCTTCTATATGACCAACGATACAACAGAAGAGTCAATCGTTGATGCAGTGGCCGAGGAAATGTTTGTGGTGCCCGTGTACCAGCTGAGAATCGGATACTTGAACACGACGATCACAGTGGGTAGAAAGACAAGGCTTAAAAGGCTTCTTTCGCGCGGCGCCAATATGGGCTAGTGGCGCAGTGGATTAGAGGCTGGCTACAAGGAAAGCTCAGGCTTAGGCTTAGGCTTAGGCTCAGGCTAGGTTTAGGGTTAGGCTTAGGTTCAGGCTTAGGCTAAGGCTTAGGCTTAGGTTCAGGCTTAGGCTCAGGCTTAGGCTTGGGCTTAGGTTCAGGCTTAGGCTAAGGCTTAGGTTCAGGCTTAGGCTTAGGCTAAGGCTTAGGCTTAGGTTCAGGCTTAGGCTTAGGCTTAGGCTTGGGCTTAGGTTCAGGCTTAGGCTAAGGCTTAGGCTTAGGCCAATGAGCCATTAGGCTCATTAGGCTCATTGGCCCAATGGATCATTGGCCGTGGCTCGTTGGCCCAATGGCTCAGGCTTAGGCTTAGGCTCATTGGCTCCATGGCTCATTGACCCTGGCTCATTGGCCCTGGCTCATTGGCCTCCGGGTTAGGCTCAAGCTTAGGCTTAGGCTCATTGGCCCAATGGCTCAGGCTTAGGCTTGGGCTTAGGCTTGGGCTTAGGCGTAGGCTCAGGCTTAGGCTTAGGCTTAGGCTTAGGCCAATGAGCCTAAGCCTAAGCCTAAGCCTTCCTGAGCCTGAGCCAAATAGAGTTTTCCGAGACAAGCCAGAACTCGCTGTATTGTTCTAATTTCATTTCTGATTTCAAGATCATTTATCATTTCAAACGAATTAGTTCTCCTAGTTGAACCCTTTGTGAAAAGTTAACTAGTTTCGCTAAAAGTAAAAAGCAAAAGTGAATTGCTAGATAAAGCTTGAAAGCTTGTACTTCTTGCTCGGACTCGCCTAAGCAAGCCTAAGCAAGAAGTACAAGCTTTCCTTGTAGCCAGCCTTTAATTCACTGCGCCATCAGCCCATATCGGCACCACGCGAAAGAGCGTGCTGGGGTACTTCCCTTAAGCTTGTTCTGTGGTCTATTTATCAGACCAGGACTGATTTGAATCTGCGCAAGACCAGGACTGATCTGGGCAAGACTTTTCGTCTGAGCTGACAATTCTTTTTTGACGCCAGCTCAAAAAAAGATAAAAAAATGCTTTTAGACTTCTCCACCGATTTGGGAAGATCGTCCATTCGAGATTGAAACGATCGGCTTCTGCAAGCACACGAGTCTCCTCAACATGCCTGTGGATTCGAATCATTATGTTATGCTGGATAATGGTGAGTGTCAAGGTTAAAGGATCTTCTCAACAGAGCAACTTGGTCAGATTTTCGTAAATTGATCTAAAATCTATTTTTCTTTGCCAAATCAACCTTGTGACTTCCAGATTGGCTTTTCTGACGTTTTTAGACTGAGAATTTTGCATTTAAGTTCAATTTTGTCATTCCTGGAACAGGACAATTTGGTCAGATTTTCTCAAGTGCATCCAATACCTATTTTTCTTTGCTCAATTGCTATTGTGGCTTCCAGCTTGGCTTTTCTGACGTGGCAAGACTGAATATTTGCATTTAACTTGATTTTGGCCGTCCCTGGAATAGAACAACTTGGTCAGATCTTCTCAAATTCATCTAAAACCTATTTTTCTTCACGCAATCAACCTTGTGACTTCCAGCTTGGCTTTTTTGACGTTTTCAGACTGAAAAATTTGCATTTAACTTGATTTTGGCCGTCCCTGGAATAGAACAACTTGGTCAGATCTTCTCAAATGCA